AAGATGGCTCTAGTCCACGCCGACTTCAAGCGGCACTTTTTCATCCAGTGCGACGCTTTTCACATCGGGGTTGGAGCGGTTCTGTTCCAGAAGGATGAGGACAACCAGGAGCAGCCGATAGCCTTCTTCTCGGCGAAGATGAATAGGCACCAGGTGAATTACACCGTCACCGAGAAAGAGTGCCTGGCAGCGCTCCTGGCGATCCGGAAGTTCCGTCCGTATGTGGAAGGGATGCCATTCACTTGCATCACGGATCACGCCAGCCCGAAGTGGTTGATGTCCATGAAGGACCTATCGGGACGCCTGGCCAGGTGGTCACTGCAGCTCCAGGGATTCAACTTCAACATCGAGCACCGGAAGGGCAGCGAGAACGTGGTGGCAGACACGCTTTCGCGATGCGTGGAGGAGATCGCCGTCGATCCGACAGAGTTGCTGGGTTTCGAGACCACCGAGGAGTTAGTCCGTGAAGTGGGGGAGAATGCGGATAACTTACCGGATCTTAGGATCGAGGACGGTCTCATCTTCAAGCGAGTCTCCCCGGCAACGCTGGATGACGAAGTGGAAGGATCCGCATGGAAACTCTGGATACCGCAGAGTCTGACTCACAGCCTGGTGGAGCGAGCCAAACGCATCCCAAGGCAGCTCACGGCGGAATGGGGAAGACTCTGGAGATCCTGCGGAGGCAGTTCTACTGGCCTGGGATGGTGTTGCAGATCCGCGAGTTCGTCCGAAGATGTCAGATTTGCAAGGAGTCGAAGGCCCCGAACCACCGGATGATGGTGGGGATCGGAGAGCGGGTACAGACGGAGCGGCCTTTCCAGAAGCTGTACGTCGACTTCCTTGGCAAATATCCAAGGTCGAAGAAGGGACACGCCTGGATCTTCATAGTGGTGGACCATTTCTCCAAATACACGTTCCTCAAGGCGATGAGAGACGCAACCGCTTTAAACGTAGTAAATTTCCTCATTACGGAGGTATTCTACAAGTTTGGAGTGCCGGAGGTGGTGCACTCTGACAACGGGCGGCAGTTCACCTCGAAGATCTTCGAGGAGGCGATGGAGAGTTTCAGAATTCGGCATCTGAAGACCCCGATTTATTCCCCCCAGAGCAACGCAGCGGAACGGGTCGACCGGAGTGTCCTGGCAGCGATTCGAGGGTTCCTGGAGAGTGACCATCGGGAGTGGGATGCGTACCTTCCGGAGATTGAGGTGGCCATCAGGAATGCAGTCCATTCAGCAACGGGCGAGGCGCCGTTCTTTACTGTGTTCGGGCATCACATGTTCCTGCATGGGTCCAGCTACAGACTGGCAAAGGAAGCTGCAGTCGATGTGTGACCATGAAATGGCCGGAATGCCGACGGCTGACAAACTACGGGTGGTCAAGAGTCTGGAGACCGCATATGACCACAGTCGCCAGCGATACGACCAGAGGGCCAGAGTCTTCACCGCGAAGCCGGGGCAAGAAGTCTATCGCCGGAACTTTGTCCTCAGCGACTTTGGGAAGCAATTTAATGCAAAGTTCGCCAAAAAGTTCCTGAAGGCCAGAGTGGTGAAGGCCGTAGGCAACAATGCGTACGAGCTAGAGGATCTGCAGGGCCGAAGTTTGGGCATCTATCACGCCAAGGACATCCGCATCTGACCTGGAAGGGAACAAAGAAGAACACAAAGTATGCCAGGACGAAAAGGAACCAAAAGATGTCTAATACTTCCCGTAAAGCGTGGGCCCCGCGTTGGGCACCGTACGGAACTGCGATCAAGATCCTGATCCAAATGCTCCCAATGATCTTGTCGAGCCGCCGGAATCCAGTAGCATCTCTCCAAATCCTTGGGTGGTGTTGCATTTCAAGTCGGAATGGGCTGGAGGGCTATCGATATATCGATAGAGGTAGGGTCGGTAGGAACAGGGGGGAGGCAGGGACTGGTGAGCAAACCGGGAAAAAAAGCAAAATTAAGAGAAAGGGTTTTTACCCTTTTCACTAGGCCGTTGCACTGAGCGCCCAAGATTACGGTAAGCCGAAAATTGGAACTCGGACAACGGAGCCTATATAGGGAGGCAGGAGACTGGAAGAGAGGGAGATTAGCGGGACTTCAGCCGGCGCGTTAGCATCTAGTGATTAGAGGAAAAGTGAAATTGAAGATTTAAAAAAGAAAAACGTGAGTGAAGTGGCGCGAAGGAAAATAACCATAGTGAATATAAATATGGTTTTTTTTCTTACAGCGTGGCCGTGACGAATAACACGGGCCACGGGTCTTTTTTTGTTGTTCTCTTGATGGTGCATTCGCCGTCGCCGAGCGTTCGGTGGATTTTGGTCTGGGCGAGCCCCTCATTTCCAGGAACACCTGCACGAGCATCCGGTCCCAGCACTCTTGCGCGCCAGCGGCCGCCAGCACAAGCCGCCATCAGGCGGAATCGGGAGCAACCGACGGAAACTGCAGGACAGCGGTGAGTCCGTTCCAATCCAAAATCGGCCGGCTCTAACCTAGGTGGTCGGATGATTCTTTGCCGCATACAGGGCCTACATTTTTGCTGCTAGGCCAGGCCGAATTCCTTTATTTATATATTTATTTATTTATTTATTAAGAATAGCAAATATCTGCAATTTTGAATCCATATCCTTACCTCAGACCGGATAAGGAGTGTTTTTTAATGATATGCTCCGACTCACATCAGGTGGTCAGAGGCAAGGATAGGTGTCTTAAAATATTATTTTTGTTAAAGTCTAATGACATTTCAAAATATAAAAGAGAGTACATGTCGTTGTAAAGCGAACATAAAACGCGAAAAGGATCGTGTGCCTCGAAATTAGTTTTACAAATATCCAAAGCTATAGTCCGAAAGTAACGTGATGGCCTAGAAGGAACTGAAAAGCGTATTTGCTTAAGAAGATTACTGGAAAAAATATATCCATTTATTAATTTATGCAGGAACATCACGCCATGGCAGGTACGACGATCCTTAAGAGAGGGCAGGTCCAGAAGGCGTAGTCTGTCGGCATACGGAGGAAGGTGGCGATGAGGGTCCCAGTCTAAGCCCCGAAGAGCAAACAAAAGGAATTGTTTCTGTACCGATTCGATAAGGTCCTGATACTTTGCATATTGGGGGGATCATACGCACGAACAATATTCGAGTATGGGCCGAACCAGGGATATATATAAGAGTTTTGTAGTGTAGGGACCATCGAATTCCTTAGACCATCGTTTTACGAAAAACACCCTTTGCTTTACCGACAATTATACCGATGTGATCGGTGAAGCTCAAGTTGTGGGTAAATAGAATACCAAGATCCGTTACAGATTGAATACGTTCAAGAACACTCGTGCCTAAGAAATAGTAGGCCTGGAAGCAGTTTCTGCGGTAAAACGACATGTATTTACATTTGGAGTTGTTAAGAAACAATAAATTGTGAGTGCACCAGGACAACATGTTGTTTAAATCAGCTTGCAAAAGCTGAGCAGAGTCAGGATTCACAAGAGGCAAACATAGTTTTACGTCATCAGCATACAAGACGTAAGAGTGGAGAATAACTTGGGGCAGATCATTTATGAAAATGCCAAATAGAAGAGGACCGAGGTGGCTCCCTTGAGGAACACCAGAAGTCACGTGAACAAGGTTTGAGAATGAACCCTTGAATGCAACTCTTTCAGTACGGTTCGACAAATAAGTAGAAATCCACTTGATCAACGTAACCGGAAAACCCAACAGACAAAGTTCGTTCAGCAGTAATTGATGATTCACCGAATCGAAAGCTTTGCTGAAATCTGTAAAGATAACATCGGTTTGGGTGTTATTTTTAAACGCGTTTCTAATGACAGCAACAAACTCAAGGAGATTTGTAGACGTTGATTTACGTTTCATGAAGCCATGCTGTGAGGGGGACATTATTGAGCTACATTGGTGCTGAAGCTGAGTAGTAATTAGAAATTCGAATAATTTGGGAATTGCACTAAGTTTTGCTATGCCTCTATAGTGTTCAATATTAGATTTACTGCCCTTTTTATGAAGCGGAATGATAAACGATTCTTTCCAAACTTTGGGGAAAAGGGCATAGGTTCCTACCCCCCCTGGGCATCCAGCTAGCCCGGCATTGCCCAGGGAATATGCAGTTCCGTAACAGATCGTGAAATTAATCAGAAAAAATTATAACTTCGTTGTTTTTCAACGTATTTTAACATGAGCTTCTGGTATTATTTCTGAATTTCGGTATAAATTTTATGAAAATCGGACGACTATATCTTATAGCTGCCATAGGAACGATAGGGAAAGTGTTCAAACATGAACACGGTTATAAATAAGAACGCATCTGTTAGCGATTAAGTCCCGGCCACAGTGCACTGTCTAGCACTTGTGTGCCTAGCTATTTGAAACCGCCACTTGAGGCTATGTAACATGTAACCCGAAATATGATCTCCTGTGAGCGGTCTGGGTTTGTTTAAGATATGTACGATCGGGTTGACATGTGCACCCTTATCGCACATAGAATATTTCTCACGATCGGGAACTGTCCGATGCGTGGGTCTAAAACTAAGATCTACAATGTACATTCTCATGTTAGCTATATAAGCTAGGGTTTGAATGAAATAAAATCAGTTTGTAACAATAACTCCGTATGAAGACGTCCTCTAATTCGGGCGGTCTTTCATTTTGGTCCTTCGACCGCTCTGCAACTTTCCCCCTTGTGGTAAGAGGTTCAAAGTTATAAATCAGCACCTTAAAATATTAAGGCTGCAAAAATAATTAACTCTTGTTTCCCCCACCCGTGGTAAGGAACAGAGTATAAAATAAAAACAAAAAGACACAAAAGAGTCTTTTATGTTTTAAAAGAAAAAACAAGCACCATTTAGGTTGCTGTAATACCATGAAAAAAATGGTAAGGCGTGCTGCAATAATATCAGTAGAAAATGTGCTTAAAAAAAAAAATTAAAAAGTGCATTAAATTATGTTATGGTATTTGAAATGGCCAACATATACCATATATATATATGCAAAAGGATAAAAAAAGAGTCCTTCTTGTTAAAAAAAAGTGGTCGAGAAATCGACAAAATTAAAAAATAAATATAACAAATATTTATTGTGGGCGTTTTTTCGAGGCCTAAAACATCGAAAAGTCGCGGTAGTGAAAAAAAAGACCTATCGTGACAAATTAAAAAAAAAAAACACAATAATAAAAAAGTTTTTGGTGGTCGTGAAAACGACAATTCAAAAGGTCAAAAAAGAGTCCCTTTTGTTTTTAAACAAAAAAATTTTTTCCAACTCCATTGGTTGGTTTTTTAAAATTAAAGGACAATAAGAGTCCTTATTAATATTTTTTCCAACTCCATTCGTTGGTTTTTTTTTTGTAAATGCCAGATATGGCAACCAGAAAATAAGAATAAAACAATTTTCTGGGGTCGAGAAATCGACTAAGATATTGTGTGGAAGTTACCCAGCCCTTGACGGAGAAAAGGAGAAGGAGGGACGACCTCACGGCAGCAACTACAAATAAGTCTGCAACAACAACGACGGCCGCAGCGACGATACAGAAACAGGCGGCATCAGGAAATCATCCTACAACAAACAACGGCGGCAGCGACGACAGCAGCAGCAAAAAACAACAACATCAAAATTAAAGACGACGGCGGCGCGGCAGAAGCGGAAAAAGCAGCAGAATTAGGAGTTACTTAACTCAATATTCCCCCGGCAGGACCTCACTTCGGAGGTATTTATAAAGCTGGAGTTAACGTCATAAAATATCAGTTAAAACAAATAGAAATTTTTTCAAAAATTAAGAAAAATAATACAAAACAAAAAAAGAAATACAATACAAACAAATTTTGATGAATTAAAAGTTAAAAGTTAAAAACAAATAGTATATGCAAGCCATGTTACGGAGGCCTATGAAAATGTTAGTTGCAAAATTAATTATATCGAATGAAACAAAATAAATACAGTCCACTTATTTTTAATTGCAACTAATTTAAATGTACACCCACACCTTGCTGGCCCTTAGCAGAATGTTCACACAGGAACATGAATTAATAATTAAAATGAAATTGTAATTGTTTATTAAGCCATGACACAGAGGCGTTGTAAAATATTAGTTGCAAAATGAATTATGTCGAGTTAAACAAAAAAAATACAGTCCACTTATTTTTAATTGCAACTAATTTAAATATACACCCACACCATGCTGGCCCTTGGCAGAATGTTCAAACATGAACACGGTTATAAATAAGAACGCATCTGTTAGCGATTAAGTCCCGGCCACAGTGCACTGTCTAGCACTTGTGTGCATAGCTATTTGAAACCGCCACTTGAGCCTATGTAACAAGTAACCCGAAATATGACCTCCTGTGAGCGGTCTGGGTTTGTTTAAGATATGTACGATCGGGTTGACATGTGCACCCTTATCGCACATAGAATATTTCTCACGATCGGGAACTGTCCGATGCGTGGGTCTAAAACTAAGATCTACAATGTACATTCTCATGTTAGCTATATAAGCTAGGGTTTGAATGAAATAAAATCAGTTTCTTACAAAAACTCAGCACATGAAGACTTCTTATTTATTTTGGAGCTCTTTCAGAAAGTAATAGAAAATATTATAACTTCGTTGTTTTTCAACGTATTTTCATCTACTTTGCGACATGAGTTTTCAGTATTATTTCAGAATTTTGGTATACATTTTATGAAAATCGGACAACTATATCATATAGCTGCCATATAAACCGATCGGTAGATGTAGAGAAAATGTAAAACTGGGAATGTAAAACTGTAACTGTCAAACTCTAAACAATAAGTATAGGTAAAATTTAATGAAATAATATCTGCAAGGGTATGCAAATTTCGGCATGCCGAAGTTTGCTTCCTTTCTTGTTTCTTCTTCTTATTAGAATATTTGGTCTTTTTTTAAGAATGCCAAAAAATGTGCAAATCTTAAATGTAGATTATTTTGTTCGTAAATATACCCTGAAAAATCTCCTTTGTAGTATTTTTGGTCTTATACATAGTAAGATTTTAAATGAAGAATGGTCAAAATCTCAAAAGAAGATTTTATTTTTTTTATCAGTGTACAAACACTATTTTCATAAATTTTTTTTTTATAAAGGCTTAGTGTATTTAATTATTAACAAATTAACAATAACCACAATCATTTAATTTAGGTAACATATACCTTTTAGAAGATATAGCTAATAACAACAAAAAAGGTCTATATTATGCCGTTCATTGAAATAGCAGTGAAAAACTAAAATTCTTCATAAATCTAAAAATATCGTATAAGAAACCTTTTCCTTCTTAAATTCTAATTGATTATGATCTAATATTTTGTTAAAAAGCCTTTAGAAGCTATCATAGCCTCATAGCCTCAAGTCTTAGCAACGCTTGACGGGAATATGGCCTCATTCTTCGTGCACAAATTGCCAAAGCTGCGGCTTAGAAGTCGGAAACTTCTTAAATACGTAGCCCTTGATGTCCCCCATAAGTTCGATTGGATTTATATCCGGGGACTGTGCCGGCCATGGCATTGCATCCACTTTTTCTTTAAGATCCCACTCTTTGGCCACCTTGCTGGTATGATTAGGTTCACTGTCCTGCTGAAATGTCCAAATTGGTGGCATTTTTTCCTCAGGATACGGCTGCAAGACTGTTTTTAATATTTGGACATAAACATAATGGTCTTTGATCCCACAGATCATATATACGGGACCTACAACGTTGTATGAAAAGTATACCCATACCATGATTTTAAGGCCACCGTGCTTTACTGTCTTCAGCGTATGGATTGGGGGATACTATCTATTTGGAGGTCGACGGACATATTGTCTTGTCCTATTTCACCAAATAAAACAAGGAGTCATTTGTCCAAAGGATACTACGCCATTTGAATAGTGGCAGTTCAAGTGGCTATTGGCGAACTCGGATCTGGCCTTTAACCAAGCAGTGACATTTTCCATGGACTTCGCGAATCTAAAATTTATTCAATAAGTCCCCGGCGAATGGTCCCATGACTGATTCCCATGCCAATTCCCGCTCATATATCCCTAGAGGATGCAAAAGGACGAGCTTTGCTGAAGCGAAGTACGCGTCGAGCCTGTACAATTGTGGTTTTGCGAATCGTACCTCGGTTTTTTTGGGTTCGGTTCATATTTTATGATTTATTAACTATTTTAAAAGAACAATTTGAAAGATTTGGAGTCTCTTTACATGTTTTGCCCTTCTTTCTAGGCAAAGTTATCTGATACCTTTCTCTCATGGAGCAGTGAGGTCCTGCGCCCACTAAAATAATTTTTTTTGCGTTGTGTTTACGCCAGGAGGCCCCTGTTCCCCCTCTGCCCACCGAACGTCTGAGCGTCCAAAAGCTCAAGCGCTCCCAGCGTAGCAACGCTCGCCCGCTCTCGCCCTCTTGCTCTCCCGCGCTCGCTCTCCCGCAGCGCTAAGCGCTTTCGCACTCTCGAGCGCGGGCCTCGGGCTTCGTTGCCGAACACTCGGATCGGCCGCTGCCGCTGTCGCTTAGCGGAGTAAGCGGGCCGTTTGCTTAAGCTTAGAGTTAGTTCCATGTATGCAGCGAAATAAAGCTGATCTTGAATTTACCCACGACGCCCCCGCTACTATTCATTTCGTCTCCGGAATATTTTTCGCTTGCGCCGTGGGAGTTCTTTTCATCATCATCCAGCCCATTTTCCCGAAGGAAGGAAGCGCCGCCCCCAACATTTTGGTCCTTCGAGCCGGATTTTTTGGATTCCGGATTATTTTCAACTCCGCCCCACCAGCAGTTATCGGCGTTTTTTTCCAAAGATAAGTACGAGCATTCCGTCTCCCCCCCTCTCTGCCGATCTTCAGCAGTGGTCCGAACATTGAATTTCGTTCACTCTGCTGCAAGATTTTTCCGTGTCGACTCCAAGTCCGAGTTTTCCTGACACAACGGCAGTTGAGGAATTTCCATTCCTCCATTCTCGTCGTTTCGTGGAAATTTTCTATCCGCCTCCGCTTTGTGTGTGTCGCCATATTCCTGGCTTTTTTCGATTCTCCGTTCCTCCGTTGCTCCGTTGTACATACATACATACTCGCGCGCCAAATATCGGCAGCTCCGCGAAAATCAAAAGGCAAAGTGAAATTGTGTGGTGAAGGAAAAAAAGGCATAATTAATATTAGGCAGCCGCAAAGTAATTGTTTCGAGAGTTCCCTGTCCGCCAAACAGTTCGCCGCTGCTGCGATATTTTTTTTGTGTGCAATTTTTTTTTCTCCACATAATTTGTGCTCTCCGCCAATCCAAATACAGTCCACTTCTCGAAGCTCCACTGTGAAACACAAGCCTTACACATACACATATATTTCCATATGCATGCATGCCCATACAATATATTTTCCGCCTCCTACACAGGAACGACCAATAAATAAACATTTCAAAATTCAAATAAAATAAATTAAAATAAAATATAAAATATATTAAAATATATATATAAACCGCGACAAAACAACAAACGTTTAGGACAAAACGGCAAATCAATTCACGGGTGCGATTACGACTGTGTTTTTTTTTCCGCCTTTTCCAAATTAACCTGTGTTTTTTATTGGGGTTGTTTTTGCCGGCGGCAGAACCCAGTGCCCGTGTTCTTCCAAACGAAAGCCAAGGTTTTAATTTCACCTTTCCGGCTCCGTAATAATTTTCCGAATTATTAATTAGTTATTTGCGACCAATAATTTTTTCGAATTCTTAGTGGAGTATTTGCGGCCAATAATTTTCCGAATTATTAACTAATTATTTGCGGCCAATAATTTTTTTTTCGAATTATTGGTGGATTAAGTCATTTATTGCGGGAAGAAACCAAACATTCGTGGGTCGCTGTTTAGTCCTGTTCTGAGCCGACCAAAGCCGGATACAACTTTCTCATCCGAGACACCTAAATACAGAATTTTTGTTCCTCGACATTCCGGTCGACGTTCGTTGTTCTATTTATTTCTGGTCCAAGTCGGCGCCCGACGCCCTTACTCGAGTGATTTCCTCCTTCCCGAGTTTTCGTCAATTCTTTTCTCGGTGGTGCCCGAGGCTCTCAGAACCTGAGCCCGGCATTTAATTCGTGAATTCACCCGCAGCATCCACTGGCAGTGTGACCGTAAGCGAGCACATTGTCCTCCTCTCCGAGTGCGGAGAATTTTCTGGGGTATTTTGTACTGCATAAGTTATACAATTCCGCGGCTTCTGGCAGTTCCTATTGCGCCCCTTTGCCAAAGTGACCCCAAGTCCCATTCCAAAACTTGTTTTCCGTCACGTCTTCGAACCATTGAGTTCGGGACTTGTCTGTTTCCTGCGGCGACCAACTAATTCGCGACCCATTCGACGTCAAGGATGCCCACGGGAGACGAGGAACAGACTCCCCTGATTCCGGCAATTACTCTGGAGGGGTCCCAGTCCGTATCTCCTCGGCCTGATCAAGTAAAGCCAAAGGCGACCACTGCCACTCCAAGGGCAAAAGGTCAAGAGGCACTCGACACTGCCCCCAGTACCTCATCCAGATCCACTCGGTCGGTAGCCAAGATGGCTCAATCCGCACTCGATATCGCCCTCCGCAAGTTCATTTCCACAACAGACCGTGTGAGCCATTTCGAGGCTGACATCAACACTCCGAGCGCCCCTGAAACCGATAGTTTTTCCCCCGCCATGTGCCAGGTTCATCGGGATAAGATTCGGGCCCTGTGGGATAAGGTGGAGAAGAGCTATGAAAGCTGCTCCGACCTACTGTCCGTGTCCGC